TAAGGGTATTCATGGTTTATGATCCCGAAATTACTGACTTTTCGTGTGCTGCTGATGGAAATAGTTGCGTTCTGCGTTGCGTGCGTTCCAGAGCGCCTAAAAATCCCATTTTCGGTCCACTAGAACCAAAAATCGGTCACCCACTAGACGGTTTTCCTAATTTTTGCCATTTTTGTGCGTCAAACAGCTTTCTTCCCGCTAAAATTTGTGAAATTTCACCGAATTCACTCACCCACTTTTTTCGGATCCCGAAATTACTCGTTTCTGTTGATGGAAATAGTTGAGGTGTGTTCCAGAACGCCTAAAAATCCCATTTTCGGTCCACTAGACCCTGTGTCTTTGCGAGTTTTCGATTCGATTCGATAGCCAGCGTTTCAATGTGAACCATTTTCTAGAAAAGGCACTTTTTCTGTTCAACCTTGATTAGATATTGTCATTTGCCTCCAGAACCAAAAAAAACCATTTTCGGTGCACTAGACCCTATGCATTTACGTGTTTTTGACCACTGTTTGGTCTGTTTTTGGCCTCAATTAACTTTGCGTCCCAAATTTGCTCAAATTTGCTCATCAGAAACACTTAATCGCTTAGAATCATTAATTCGGGGAACATTTTCGGTCGAAAAATAATCGAATTGCTCGGGGACATGCAATTTTTTTGACGAAAAGGGGGCTAAATTGGGCAATTGAATAAGCTGCAAAGGTTGTCCGAAAATTTTTTGGCAACTTCTTCCGAACAAGTGATCATTTAGTGGTGTGCGCTACAGGATTGCCGAAAAATCCCTCAGAATTTTGAGTTTTCGTGATTTGTGCGTTTTATGGGCTCATTCTCATCACGAGGCTAAAGAACCCCAATGAGCTCTCTAGTCTCCGCTTTAACTCGTTTATAAGCGCTCAGAAATCGCAGTGACGATTAAAAAACGAGTAGATTAAGGGAAAATACCCTTTTCGTTTACGTTTACCCTTTTTGGGTAAACGAGTCTACCGAAGAATTCGAGAAAACAAGCCGAGCCTGCGTAACTGAACCGAGGCAATTTACAAGAATTTTTTCAGAAAATATTGTGTTTTTTTGTGGGAGTTGTTGATCCTGGAACGCATTGAGCTGAATTCATTTGAAAAATCCTAGAATGAATCTAAAGAAATTTTGGCAAAATTGGGCAACTAAACCGGGGTGGATTTGTCCGAAAATTTATAGCAAAAATTTAAAACTTTTGAGAAAATAGTGGGTCCTGGGAGGCACTGGGGTGATTGGATTCAAAAAATTTGAAAAAAATAACATTTGCAAATGTTGGGTTTCTGAATCAACTTTGGCAGTTGGGTAACTAAACCGACCGCAACTTCTCCCTTCCTGGATCTTCCCTTCCTGCACCTTCTCCCTTCCTGGGTTTAATTTTATCTGTTTTGAGTCACATTTCTTTGAGTTTTTGTCTTTTCGGGTAAACGAGTCTACCGAAGAATTCGAGAAAACAAGCCGAGGCTGCGTAATTGAACCGAGGCAATTTACAACAATTTTTTCAGAAAATATTGTGTTTTTTTGTGGGAGTTGTTGATCCTGGAACGCATTGAGCTGAATTCAATCGAAAAATCCTAGAATGAATTTAAAGAAATTTCGGCAAAAATTGGGTAACTAAACCGGGGTGAATTTGTGCGAAAATTTATAGCGAAAATTTAAAACTTTTGAGAAAATAGTCGGTCCTGGAAGGCACTGGGGTGATTGGATTCAAAAAATTTGGATGAAATAACATTTAAAAATGTTGGGTTACTGAACTTACTTTGACAGTTTGACCAACTTTGACCAACCAACAGGGTAACTAAACCGACCATAACTTCTCCGTTCCTGGATCATCAGGTTCAATTTTATCTGTTTTGAGTCACATTTCTGAAATTTCTTTCTTAATTTGATATTCTTCACGTGATTTTTTTCTTTTTCCCACCCGTTAGTTGGGCAAATAAACCGGGGTCAAAGACGAAAACTCATTTTGTCGAATTTCTTTCACTTTCTTCGCCAAACTTTCGTTGTGTTTTCCAGATTGGCGAAATGAGAAAGAAAAGTGGATGGGTTTCCACGGTGAACCCGAGAAAAACGCCTGAAGTCATTTGGCCATTTGCCCAGCCGGGTCAACGGGTTCAATTAAATTAAGGACTTAATTTTTTGCTTTTCTGGAACGCACAAAAGTTTGCGTGAAGTAGATTTTTTGGAAAACTGAAAAATATTTTACGCCAAAAACTAGTTTACAAGTTTGGCGCCAATTGTTGGTTAGCTTTGAAGATTAATTTTTTCCTCGCTAAAATTTGGCTCTCCTGGAGCGCACAGAAGTTATCTAGAGCCTCAAAGTCTCATTTTTCCATTGCAAAACCGGATCTCTGACCGATTCATTTATATTTTTGCCCTTCATTTCTCATTTCTCATTTCTCATACTCGATTCTCTTGCAGAAACTATTTTCACCTCATCAAGTATAATTGGGGCTAAGTTGTGTGGAAAAAGAGTGAAGATCCCATTCTCCTCACTTGAGATGACGTTTTTCCTTTCATTCCTTTTCATTAAACCCTTGAATATCGGGTTTTCTTTGGTTTCAAACGACTTGTAAGGTTTTCCAGCAAAATTTGACACCAAATTTCAGTTTTTCGATGATTTTTGACGATCCTGGATATCACAGTACTAGAAAAGCCCAAAATTATCGAAATTTGCAATACTTTCAATGAAAATGTGTTTGAATTTTTAACCACCCATTTTTTTAACGAAACGACATCAGAATTCCATTTTTCGATGAGTGACGGAGGACCTGATGACCTGAAGGAGGACCTGACGACCTCCCATTTTTCAATCTGGACCCCACCCTGCTTCGTCGTCACAAAATTTCGTGACCTGACAACCTGAACGAGGACCTGACAACCTGAAGGAGGACCTGACAACCTGAAGGAGGACCTGATGACCTGAAGGAGGACCTGATGACCTGAAGGAGGACCTGACAACCTGAAGGAGGACCTGATGACCTGAAGGAGGACCTGATGACCTGAAGGAGGACCTGACAACCTGAAGGAGGGCCTGACAACCTGAAGGAGGACCTGATGACCTGAAGGAGGATCTGATGACCTGAAGGAGGACCTGATGACCTGAAGGACCTGACGTGTTCAGCATACACCTTCTGGGGCTGGCTTCTGGCCTAGTCTCTCAAAAGTACCTGTATCAAGCAGAGTATAGACCTAGACCGGGCTTACAGGCGCTTAACGGATTGAAAACTCTTGAATTAACTTTCGAACTGAGGGGAAACACCCCGCCTCCCGCCCTCTCCAGCTGCTCTCCACTCCTCCCAAATGACATCCTCCTCTTTCCTCGCCTTCCAATCTTTGAGTAGCAAGCACTTTTTTTTCATCAATCCCACTCCAACCACTAACATTTACTCATCCGCATTATTCCACAGGAAAATCCCCGCAATTATTCCACTTGGCTAAAATATTCCTCAGCTCCAAACATTACGTGATATTCATAAATAAGCGAAATCCACAAAGAGAATCTCTTTCTTGGAGGGCAACTCGCAGAAATTAGCCGCTAATTTATTGCGGAGGCAGAGCAACCTCACCAAAACTCGCTCACAGCGTTGAAGTCAAAATTTTGCTTAATTTTCGGGATTCGAAGTTTTTGAGTAAAAATTTGATTGTCCTGGAGGGCACGGAGATTATTAAAGCCCCATTTTAGCTTAAAGGAACAATTCACGAAGTGGCTACCGGATTAAAAAAAGTACTGAGCCGTAAACTGGTTTAGATTAAACTTTTTTATTGTCAAAATCGATAGCCCTTCAATCTGGAGCGCACAGCGGCGAAATTTGAATTTAACTTTTTAAAATCTAAAATTTAAAACCAAGTTTGCATTTAATGATAAAAATATTCAATCAAGCGTTCGAATTCGGTTTTCCAAAGCCTCAATTACCTTCATTTTCCACTTTTTCACCAGATTTTTCACCGTGTGCCCTCCAGATTTTAGAAAAAAATCACTCAAAAGTATGAATCTCAGAGTTGATTGCCCTGATTAATCGAGGATCTCATTTTTTCTCTCCGCAAATTTCTTGTTCACACTCGTTTCTCATTTTTCTTTGCTTTTCCCATATATTTCTTTCAAATATTCTCGAATCCTGGATATCACAATATGTATTGAAATAGAAAAAAGTGACCGGATGCCCCATTTTTCTATTCTCTTTCCCATCACTCATCAATTTTTTAACACCTCCACCCCCATCACCCCCTTTATCCCGATCTATTCTAAGACGTGCGAAAGTTACTGAATTATTTCCCCTGAGTGGCAGCTTGATGCTTTCTGAATGAATAAACTTCCCATTAATGAAGACAATTGATTTTTTTGAAGTGAACTCAAAATAACAATGATCGAGTTGTTTTGAAGTTTCTCCGCTCATAAAATGGCTTGTTACATGAATTTTTGTTTGTCCTGGATATCACAGTACTCAAAAATGCAAAAATATTAAATTTCTAACACTGTTGCCTTGTGGCTAAGTGGTATTGTGTTTGGTTCCAAGGCGAATGATCCCGGGTTCGATCCCCGCCGCCGCCAAAGTTTAAAATTTTTGACCTTTTTTTTGCTGTTTATATCTAAAAGTTTAGCGCTTCCGTCTGTCAGTCGCTGTTTTTCAATCTCAGCCATCCGTGGATGGATTTGGGTGAAATTTTGGCGTCAGAGAATTAAAAATAAGGGGTCACGTGTTCGAGCCTTTTTTTTCTATCTAGATAATCCGTGTGCACTCCAGATCAGCCAATTTTTAAGTCAGAACCTTCTTTGCGTTTTGAATTTTCTTAGAATGCGCTCCATCTCGAATGCTAACTCTATCAAATGCTCATTTCACTCCTATTGATATTCTTCTCAATTCATTTGCTAGACTGTGTCCCAGGATTGCCAAAAATTGCTTTCCATGCACTTCTATTGTTCAAATGTTTTCAATAAGTTGCCCAGTCTCCAATTCCAGGTCCCACACCCACACACTTTCAAGCCAAAAATGCGATCGACGATGAGGGAAAGCTGTGTGATGATCGTTCTCGTTTCCTCGCTTCTCCTTTTCATTTCGCCGATTCACTCAACGCAAGAGGTTTTCGATCGGCTGCGCTTTCGATTTAACAACGCACCGGTGGGTCAATAAGGGTATTCATGGTTCATGATCCCGAAATTACTGGTTTTTCGTGTGCTGTTGATGGAAATAGTTGACGTGCGTTCCAGAACGCCTAAAAATCCCATTTTCGGTCCAGTAGACCCTGTGTGTTTACGAGTTTTCGATTCCGTCGATAGCTAGCGTTACAACCTGAACCATATTTTAGAAAGAGAAAAACTCGAGTGCGCCAAGGACTTTGTGTTTTTAATTTTTGTGTAGAAGGTACACAATCTGCCTAATTAAGTGTATAAGCGTAATTTATTCTTTGATCCGAAAACGCACCCTTTCTGGCGCACTGAATCCCTGAAGTTTGACGTTTGTTTTAAGCTTTTCCGCCAAAGATCCCATTCTCCTCACTGGAGATGACGTTTTTCCTTTCATTCCTTTTCATTAAACCCTTGAATATCGGGGTTTCTTTGGTTTCAAACGACTTGTAAGGTTTTCCACCAAAATCTGACACGGAATTTTAGTTTTGCAATGATTTTTGTTGATCCTGGATGCCACAGTACTAGAAAAGAACAAAATTACCAAAATTTGCAATACTTCCAATGAAAATGTGTTTGAATTTTTTACCACCCAAATTTCTTAAACAAACGACATCAGAATTCCATTTTTCGATGAGTTCTGGCGGTTCTGGATATCACAGTACTCGAGAATGTAAAAATATTCAATTTCTAATACTGTTGCTTTGTGGCCAAGTGGTAGTGTGTTGGGTTCCAAGGCGAATGGTCCCGGGTTCGATCCCAGCCACCGCCAAAGTTTTTAATTTTTTGACCTTTTACGCTATGTTAGAGAATTATCAAAAGTACAGCACCCGTATCGGCTCACCGAAAATCTAAAACTCAAGAGTACAAATAGCTTTGGTTCAATTACCCAATTCGAAAGCTGAACCGGTTTGTGATTTAAACATTGGATCAAATTAGGTCGACTAGCAAGGTGGTATTTGCAGATTAGGCTAAGGAATCATAGCTTTGGTTCAATTACGCAAATCCATTTGGATTTCTAATGAAAATTGCCTTTTCAGCAACCTCTCTACCCCTCATCGATCTCCTCGTCGAAACCGGAGCGAATCTCGATGGAACGCTTGCAATCGCTCATTGACAAATACCGGAATTGGAAAGCGAAGAGGCCTTTCGAGAAAGAAGTGACACAAATTTGAATACTTTTCTCTACATTAACACATATATTATCAGGATTTCCATAGTTATAAAGGATTTTGTTATGTTTTTTCGAGCAATCAAGGTTCTCCATCAAAATTTGACACGGAATTTTAGTTTTTTGATGATTTTTGTCGATCCTGGATATCACAGTACTAGAAAAGCCCAAAATTATCGAAATTTGCAATGAAATGTGTTAAGGTTTTTAACCACCCAAATTTGTTTAACCAAACGACCTCAGAATTCCATTTTTTGATGAGTTCTGGCGGTTCTGGATATCACAGTACTTGAAAATGTAAAAATATACAATTTCTAACACTGTTGCTTTGTGGCCAAGTGGTGGTGTGTTTAGTTTCAAGGAGAACGGTCCCGGGTTCGGTCCCCGCCGCCGCCAAAGTTTTTAATTTTTTAACATTTTACGCCATGTTAGAGAATTATCAAAAGTACAGCACCCGTATCGGCTCATTTGAGATGACGTTTTTCCTTTCATTCCTTTTCATTAAACCCTTGAATATCGGGTTTTCTTTGGTTTTAAACGACTTGTAAGGTTTTCCACCAAAATTTGACACCAAATTTCAGTTTTTTGATGTATTTTGTCGATCCTGGATATCACAGTACTAGAAAAGCCCAAAATTATCGAAATTTGCAATACTTTCAATGAAAATGTGTTTGAATTTTTAACCACCCAAATTTTTTTAACCAAACGACATCAGAATTCCAGTTTTCGATGAGTTCTGGCCGTTCTGGATGTCACAGTACTTGAAAATGTAAAAATATACAATTTCTAACACTGTTGCTTTGTGGCCAAGTGGTAGTGTGTTTGGTTCCAAGGCGAACGGTCCCGGGTCCAGTCCCGGGTTCGATCCCCGCCACCGCCAAAGTTTTTAATTTTTTTGACATTTTACGCTTTATTTTGCTGTGACTTGATAAAAACTAGAAAAAATTATGCAAATTGCAAGAAAATTGAGATATGACAAAGAAATAGACATAATGAAAAGTAAAATATAAAAATTGAAATAGATGAAATAGACAATATTGACAAATGAATTCTTAGGACAAAGTCAAATATTTGTAAAGCTTTTGAGCGGTAATTGAGAGAAACGAACAAACCAAAAAGGCTAAAATTTACTAAAATTTCCGAGAAACACCCCAAAAAATAAAAAATAACAAAAATTGCCAAAAATTGCCAAAAAGTTTTGACTAAAAAGGGGAAATTTTAACACATTTTTCGAGAAAGAGACTAGAAAATTACAAAAATTACAAAAATTACAAAAATTAACTAAAAAACCAAAAAATTGGTACAAAATTTATACAAAAATGCCGTAAATGCAAATTCTGAAGCTAATCCAAATATTTGTGAGAGAGAATTTTTGTTTTTTTTGCTATTCGATGCTTCTAGATGCTTCTAGATTGAGGAAATTAGTTCGACAAGGATTTGGGCCTTATTTTTTAGAATCTATCATTTTTCTTAGGGTAGACAGCATATCTGGAAGTCATTGAGATAAATTTCAATGGAAAACAATGGTTTCAAGGTTTTCGAGTTTCGCCGAATTTGGCTCCGACGACTCGGCGTCGATTTCTGACTCCTCCGGTGGATTTTCGCCAATCTCTTGGTTTTGATCGTCGATCTGGAGCGCAGGTTCTGTAGCTAAATCCTCAGCATTCGAGCCAAGGATCGAGCTTGACTGCTTGAGCTGGGAATCGACCGGTTGCTGTTCTTGAGAGGACACTTCGACAGCCATGCTCCCCGGTTCGGTCCCTATGGCTCCTGTGCCTTCCAATTCGCTGGCCTGTTCATTATGAGCATTTGTTTCCGTGCTTGGTGAGCCTGTTCTTTGCACGATCTCGTTCTCGGGTGGTGGCGGGGGTGTGTAGCTCGGTGGTTCTTTCGTCAACTCTTCCCTCAACTCCATCAATGCTTTCTTCTCCTCTGCTTCTCGCTTTTCTTGCTCGGCTTTGAGGCGGAGCTCCTCCTTTCGGCGTTCGCTGGAATTTTGATGTTTAGAAAAGCTAGAAAATAAAACTATTCCTTTTAGCGCACCTTTTAGAAAGCAGGCTACAGTATTCCTAATGCTTTCCCTAGTTTCTAAAAGGTGCCCTTGAAAATCTACGAGGTTTGGTATCTATTTGTTTACCTGAATGGCGTCCGCACACAGATGCTCACCAGTCGGCCCGCGTCGTTCTCGTCCCAGTCCTGAAAATGGTTTTGAGCTAGTTTTTTGTAAAACCAAGCAATTATTTGTGCCATCTGGAAGGCACAGCTTCGACTCAACCATAGAAAAACTTGAAATTCAGCTTCAATTTCACTTACCCTCAACGAGATGACTATGTTGCTTTCTCGACCGATCACGACCACCTCTTCGCCATCTCCTTCCGGGAAAGTCTAAACTGGAGGTCATTCGACATTTTCTGCGCAAAATCAAACCTTTGTCTTGAATCTCATCGTTTTCCCTTCTAATTTCTCGCGATTCGTGCACATGTGCAGATAAAAGCCGGAGGGTCGCGAGCGAAGTTTGTCTCGTTTCCAAGTGATCTGGAAGGCACAACGTTGTTTTGAGTGGTCAAAAACGGTAAGCCTTCCATTCTACGTCTATAGGTGTACTGTAGCTCGAGTGTCTTGTACTACTATGACTCTGTATCACTCTCACCGTCAAATCCCTCTGTCGATTCTGGATATTCTCCACGAAATGCCCCATTCCGTCCTCATCAACATTCCGACACCGGATCACCGTCAGTTTGCGCAAGAATTTCGCATTCTAAAGTCTCGTTTTGTCATCAGGAAAAATTTCGTTTTTCTCGAAAATTCGGGTCTGGTTTCGAATGTTAAAATTGTCTAATTTTTGAATTTTTAGGTGTTGTGAGCTCCAGAATGACCGATTTTTAGAAAATTTTGGAAAACTAGTTAAATTTGAACGAGTAAAAGGCTTGAACTCGTTTCCTCATCCCAGCATTGCTCTTCTTTGCTCAATTTTGGTTCAAAGTCGAAAATTGGTGACCTCCAGAATAATCGATTTTAAGGCAATTTTTGAAAACAAGCTAAATTTGAACCGAGTAAAAGGCTTGAACTCGATTCCTCATTCCAGAATTGTTTGGTTTTCATTGCTCATTTCTTTTCTGAAGTCTGAAGGCCATTGTGCGTTCCAGAATGACCGATTTTACCCTCAGAACCTAGGATCTCCAAGTCTGGTTCCCCGAGAAATCGCTGAAGTTTGAAATTTGAAAATCTCAGGGAAAAACAGCACAGCATCTTACCCCTCTGGTAAGGGACTTCTCTTTTGAAAACCGTAAGGGAAAGTAGCGGTGAGCCGGTTTGCTTTGCAGGTCACTATGCCCAAATTCTTGGGATCGAAAAATCAAAATCAAAACTAACCCAAAATTTGGTTGTAATTTTACTACGAATTCTACACCCAATGTATTCGCAAAAAATTCTCGTGGTTGCATTGGAGAGTTACAGAATTTAGATGTGAAAAAGAATTGAATTGGCTGTAGGCTTTGCACATGATAGCTTTTCACTATGAAAAGATGAAAAGACCCGTATTTCCGAGAACCGGAGATTTCCAGTGATTGAAAAAACTGTAAAATTTCAGTTCTCTTCAAGTCAATGGAGTTGAAAAAAGCTGAAATCTCACCTCCGAAATGTGCTCGATAAATTCGTTGCTGGCTGCCGGGCAAGAGATGAGCTTCACCTGGAAAAAGACGTCAAATGTTTTTCGTTTTCTTTCTTTCTCAATTTCAAGTACTTCCGTATCTTTCCCCGCCAACAAGTTAATATGCAAATTGATTTTTTGACCCCTTATTTCATCATTGACTTTTTTTAGCTTAGTTTGAAGCTAGTTTTGAAGCTAGAATCTACTATAATGCGCCTACTACTATCGTGCGCCATAATTGTCACAACAAGTTCTGATTTTAAGGCAGACAACAGCAAAAAAGACAATTTTTTAACTGAATAACATTTATTGTACATTAACAATTATAAAGCAACTATCGAATTCAAATCGGCCACCATTCGCATTAACATTCGCAGGCGTTTCGGAAAGGCGTCAACGGTGGCGACCAAATAGGTTGAATCGAGCTCTTCCCACACTTCGAAGCTGGATATTCACTTTGAGAAACCGTAGCATTGTAGTTGGCCCATACTCGATCATCTTGCTTGTTAAAAAGGCTTTCAACGGTAAATATCTTTTCATCTGTGAACAAGATATTATGATAGTCAATTCCATTGAAGCGCATCAATAACTGATTTGCTCACAATTTTCGCTTGCTTTTGGCGGTATTCGAAAGAAGTTGAGCCTTGTTTTTCTTGTAAGCAATAAGTTTGAGCTTATTTTTGAGGATCCGACGCAATGAGGTGCTTGAAATCGCCATCTTCTTTACCATTTGCCTTGCCGACTGGTTTGGCTTCTTTCGAATTCGGTCCCTCACTCGCTTGATGTTTGTCTTTGTGACGACAGTTCGGCGTCTACTGCTTTCTTGGGCGACAGTTGAGCGTCAACCGCTTCTTTGGACGAGAGTTGAGCGTCTACCGCTTCTTGGACGACAGTTGGACGTCTACTGCTTTCTTGGGCGACAGTTTGGCGTCAACCGCTTCTTTGGACGAGAGTTGGGCGTCTACTGCTTCTTTGTGTCGACAGTTCGGCGTCTACCGCTTCTTGTTACATCAGCAATTTTTCCCGTAGTTTTATAGCGTTGAATAGTGCGGAAAATGACACTTCTGTCGAGTTTAAGACGCTTATGAATCTCCGGCGCCGAGACTCCTCGCTTGTGCAATTCGATGATCGATTGTCGATGATCTAGCCATTATAAATTCATTCTTTTATAAGAAAAAAGTTTCAATTATATTCTAAAGAAAAACACAAAAAGAAACCAGAAAAGAAGCTTAAATCAACGAGTTATTGTCCTTGAACGCGCGTGATACCTTGTTGCGACAATTATGGCGCACCCTGTAGATTTAAGCTAGAATTAATGAATATAAATAGAATAAAATCGTTTTATACTATATTCCCCTTATCTTTACCAAAATAGAGACGAGAAATTTACATTTATCCTGGATTTTGGTCTTTTGAAATGATCTTTTGAAATGAATTTTTGAATACTTTTTGCCCTCGTGTTACCTCATGCACCCGATGCCATTTCCCGCCAAGCAAGTAGGTCTTGAAGAAATGTGGATCGTCAGCAAATGAGGCCTCCAGTTTCGTGGTGATTCTAGAAACATTTTTGCTGAGTTTTCTAGTGTGCCATCCAGAAACGGCTTTAAACCATATTGGAACCATATTCGAACCATATTCGAACCATATTCGAACCATATTCGAACCCTATCTGAACCATATTCGAACCCTATCTGAACCATATTGGAACCATATTGGAACCCTATCTGAACCATATTGGAACCATATTCGAACCCTATCTGAACCATATTGGAACCGTATCTGAACCATATTGGAACCATATTGGAACCATATTCGAACCATATTCGAACCCTATCTGAACCATATTCGAACCCTATCTGAACCATATTCGAGCCCTATCTGAACCATATTCGAACCCTATCTGAACCATATTCGAGCCCTATCTGAACCATATTCGAACCCTATCTGAACCATATTCGAACCCTATCTGAACCATATTCGAACCCTATCTGAACCATATTGGAACCATATTCGAACCCTATCTGAACCATATTGGAACCGTATCTGAACCATATTGGAACCATATTGGAACCATATTCGAACCATATTCGAACCCTATCTGAACCATATTCGAACCCTATCTGAACCATATTCGAACCCTATCTGAACCATATTGGAACCAAACCATAAAACGCGAAAACCAACCCGAAAAGCGAAGGCGACGGGAGAATCTTCCGGAATGGTGATCTAAAATTCTCACATTTTCAAGAGCCTTAAAAGATATTGTGCCTTCCAGGAATCAGATTTAATTTTTTAAATTTTAGGAAAATTGTTTAAAATCCAAATTTTCGATGACATAAAGAAATTGTTGACATGTGTTTTTCCAAAAACAACGGAGGCTTTTAGCTTTCCTCCAAAAGATTGTAGTGATATCCAGAATTCTTAAAAAAATGCGATTTTTCACTCACCGGCTGATCGGGTAATCGATTGGGGCCTTGGTGAGAAAACTAAGGTGAGTCCAGATGCGGCGTTGCTCGAGAATTGGCGCCACTGTATTGATGTCTCGTAAGTATTCCAGATCGGCGATGACGCTCAGCAGGACCATGGTGAGATTGCTGGAAATGGAGAAAATGAGTTCAAAAAATCATAAAGAACCTTTGCGGTACAAGTCGGGTAACTAAACCGGAGGCATTTGTGGTTGATTAACAATAAATCCTAAGCAATAACTCTATGAAAAAGTGTAGTTTAAAAAGAACCCGGTTCAATTACCCAACTGCTACAATACCAAGCCTCTTGAGCTGAATTGGCTATCGAAAAAGCTAGGTAATTCACTTACTGGCAAATACTGGTGAAGACGGACAACAATTCGGCGAGACTTCCATCGCACAACTCGATTTTTAACCATTGAAGACCGAATGGCCGAGTGGTTGTGTACTGCTCGAGATCCGGCAGAACTGGTGGAATAAAATCGTCTGTCAACACTTGCGGCACGATTTCTTCCTCTTCTAAACAAAAATCTTTCTTCAATGCCAGTCTCAGGTCAGAAGCATTTTATTTAGGCTCGGATCCAGCCAGGACGTACAAGATCCGGCTCAGAGTTGGGCCTAGACACATTTTAGTATAGGCCTGGTTAAGAACCAAGGAGGTCGGACCAGGTCAGCCTTGAGCCAGTCCGAACCAGGTCAGCTTTGAGCCAGTCCGAACCAGACCAGGGCCCTTTTGGCTTTGCCTGACCTGACTAGACCCTAGTGTCCAGTTAGTATGTAGATCATATGCTCCGAAGTATGGCAAGTTGAACCTGGATGTTGATCTGACTGATCTGACTTCAGACTAGACACTACAACTACACACGCAAAATACAGCCGCTTCTAAATTGCTTTAAATCTATCGGATTGACATGCTCTATAGCTCAAAAAAAGAGAATCTCAAGAGCTTTCGAAGACCGAAGCAAACCAAAAAACATTAACGCTAAAGTACGTTACAGCGGTTTGTAGTCTCTTCGATGGCTTCGACTACGCGCGAGTACGCTCCATTTCGAGTCAGGACTACAAGCCACTGTAAATTTCTTTAGCGTTGATGTTTTTGGGTGTGCTTTGGTCTATTCGAAAACTCTTGAGATTCTCTTTTTTTTAGCTATCGACCATGTTAATCCGGTAGATTTGAAGCAAGTTAGAAGCGTTTATAGTGTGACAGTTCGGCATTTTTGTAGTTTGTAGCGCCCCTGCCAACTTCAGACCGGTTCTAACCTAGCTTCGTGACATACCTGAAGTCTAGTCCTGTCGCAGAAGCTGGACCTGACTTCAGGCCAGGCTCCGACCTAGCTTAGAGGACCTAGCTCCAACCTAGCATGGTTGGGCAATACTCAAGCTGGACCCTGACTTTTTGGTTAAAAAAGATTTCAGATTTGTTGAGCGAAGGTTTTCTCAAAAATGCACTTGAGAAAAGGTATCATAACTCTGACTCGAGCTTTAAAATATACTGTAAATACTGTAATAGTACCGTAAATAAATAAAAATACTGTAAATAAAAAGAATTAGTCTTTGTAAGTCTTTTTTCACGTTTCTATAGCTAATCGAGGGCACTGGGCAAGAATTTGACAGTTTTAGCATACCGTAAATACTGTAATAGTACCCCACCCCCATAATGACGGTGCGGAGTGTTGCGTAGTCTAGTTTTGAATGAGTTTTCTCGACACTGGTTTATGCTACAATGCGCACTTTGGTATCAAAAAATAGCTGAAATTCAGGGCTATTTTTTGATATCTAAGCGCGCATTGTAACTTAAACCAGTGTCGAGAAAAACTCGTTCAAAAATTCAAAGCAAAAATAGCCCTGAATTTCAGCTATTTTTGATACCAAAAACGCGTTTTTTGAAAGTACGGGCGCTTTGAAAAAAATGAAATGTTAAAAAACTTTTGCGACTACGCGACTGTACGAGGGGGGTGGGGTACTATTACAGTATTTACGGTACCCTAAAAGGCTACCGTAATCCTGTAGCTGTAAAATTTTAGCCAAAGGGCCGGTGTTTCTTCGCTCACCTTCTTCTTGTTGTCTTTCTCTCGCAAGCAGCCTTCGGTGACGATTCCTCTCGGTTTGCCCATCGGCCCAATGTTTGTTGCCAAAACTCGGGAATTTGCAGAATTTCAGTACCTAGATTTTGAAATTATCAAAAATAACCATCTACTGACCAAGAATTTTAGATGCGGCAGGAAATCGGGCCCGAGGAACTGGATGAAAGCGACGAAATCGTGGACAGTGTTGATGCGCACGTGAGAGAGACTGATGAACTCGAGGAGGGGCATCTGCAAAAATTAAAATGCTATAAAATATTGGAAAATATAAAAACACAGTAGTGTGCGATCCAGGATTAAGGAAAGTTTGGTTTATTTGATTTGGCAAAAAAAATTCGAATTTTCGAGTGAACTCGTAGTCAACAAAAATCAGCTGGTTATTTTTTTGCAATCTGTTCTTGAAAACTTGTGCAAAAGCTTTTGTGACATCCAAATTGAAAAATTGATTTCAGATTTTCGCGAGAAATTTCATGGTTTTGAATATTTTAGGTTATGAGTATAGCGCGGCAACCCACATCCGCGCGGCAATCCCACCCACATCCGCGCGGCAATGCCACCCAGATCCGCGCGAAATGGTGTTCTCTATCAGAATCTCACGTTTGAATATCCATTTGACGCAGAAAATTGTGCTGAATCGAATGGTGAAGAAATTATCGAAATCCGTCTGACTCGATTTTTTTAAAACGCCTTTTATCGAAAAAAACGCACTTTTACAATCAATTAGCTCGCCGCGACCAACTTTCGGTGGCTCGTTCTCAGCGTGGTCGAAAGATTGCGCCCTCAAAACCGATAACTTTTGTGTGGACGTGTGCAAAGATCATTTTGATACCAAAAGAATAAAAATTGATCCACTCTGCGAAAACTTGATGCCTTTTTAAGTTGAAAATGATGTTTTTGACTTTCTGCCCGCTAAAACGTGGACAATCTCGGGACAATCGTACGGACAATCTCTGGACACGAATCCGACAATCCCGGGACACGCCCAAAATGCGGTTTTTTGCTTTGTTTTATCTTCCTACGCTTTGTTTTAGCTCCCTAAGCACGTAAAACTAAAAATTAGTTGCCGGTAAACGATTTTTAAGCTATCAACATGTACCCAAAATTTTGCTACCCACAACACCTACAAACACCTAAGCCAGAATCAGTAACTAATTTGCTAATTAATTTTCTTTCTGTGCTATTAGCGCGGAAAAAGTGGCGAATTCGAGACAAGCCCAAAAGGCATTTTTTGCTTTGTTTTAACTTTAATAATCCTCCCTAAGCATGTAAAACTAAAAACACGCCCGAGATTGTCCGCGTATTGTCAATAGATTGTCAATAGATCCATTGATTGTCTACGTTTTAGCGGGCAGAAAGTCAAAAAACATCATTTTCAACTTAAAAAGGCATCAAGTCTTCGCAGAGTGGATCAATTTTTATTTTTTTGGTATGAAAATGATCTTTGCACACGTCCACACAAAAGTTATCGGTTTTGAGGGCGCAATCTTTCGACCACGCTGAGAACGAGCCACCGAAAGTTGGTCGCGGCGAGCTAGTTGATTGTACAGGGTCCGAGAAAAGTATTGTCGCGTCTCTTTGAACTAATTTTTATGCTATTTAAAAGTATCCTTTTGCGTTGTGTAAAACATGAATTTTGTCCAGTTTTTTTCCTCTTTCGAATGGTGCATAGCATTCAATGTGTATCTTTACAAATGCAAGCTTGCCCTCATCGAGAAGCGATCGCCATGCTTTTGAAAGCTCGAGAGTCGAAGACGGTCATCTCGCGAAAGCTTAAAACCAACATCAGAACTGTTCAACGGCCTGCCAAACAATTGCAAAAGAAAGGAAACGTCAAGGAGAAGCCGAAAAAAGGAAGACATCGATCGGTGAACACGCCAAACATCCGGAAGCTCATCAAACAGCGAATTGATCGAAACGACCAGCGAAGCTTAGGATTGTAGTTGATTGTGTTGATTCTAAAAGTCCGTTTTTTTTCGATAAAAGGCGTTTTAAAAAAATCGAGTCAGACGGATTTCGATAATTTCTTCACCATTCGATTCAGCACAATTTTCTGCGTCGAATGGATATTCAAACGTGAAATTCTGATAGAGAACGTTTTTTTGCCTTATTTCGCGCGGATGTGCGACTCCTTCTCCATCCACCCAAAAGTGAGCGGGTGGTGTCTACACACTTTTGGGTGGCGGGAACGGTGGGGAAGGGGAGATTGGCCCCTTCCCCATTCCCAAAAGTGGGTGGGGAAGGGATGGGGGTTGCAGCACTATAGTTATAAGTCAATATAAGTCAATATAAGTCAACTGAATATGCCAAACTTTTCCATAGATTAAACAGCCAAAAAAAACATTTTTAAAAGCTAGCATGACATCCAGATTGGCAATTTTGATCGAAATTTTGCTTTAAAAGTTTTGAGTTCGATTCAATTAACTTACATGAGCCAACTTCGGCATGACGAGCATCCACGGCGGGGTTTCGCCGTTGTTGCTCCGAAACGAGTAGTCAAAAGTGGTGACATTCGGCGGGAATTTGATCGAACTGTCTGGAAAGGGGAATTTGGCAAATTTCGTTGCTTCCCAGTTTAATATTTCAAGAATTGGTTTACTTCGAGTCCGGCAACTCAACTACAACACCAAGAATTTTCCAAAAATAGCTTTTTCGTAAATTTCTTTTCAGTTTTAGCTTGCGTGTGTTCCAGATCGCCGCTTACCGATTTCAAATCCATCGATGATCAAGGTTCTCAAGTGTTGAAATTGGGGCATCTGTGTCATCGGGACTCCATTCCACAGCGTTGGTCCGTGTGGCCGCATTGTGATAGCTTCAAGCTGCGGGATCTTCTCCTCGAGGTAATCGAGCACTTCTACCTGGAAATTCGAGTGTCGGGTGAGCCAACCGGGTAAGTCAGGTCAGGCCAGAAGCTGGGACCATGTCCAACGCTGCTTCTGGCGTACCTACGGATTTTACGCACTCAATAAACCTAGAGACTCGACAAAATGAAAAACTCCAATCAATTGCTGCTTAATTCTTATCTGCAGTCACGAATTGGCCATTGTGCGTTCCAGAATGACCGATTTCCCCCTCAAAACCTAGGATCTCCAAGTCTCCTTCCCCGAAAAAGCGCGGAACTTCGAAATTTGAAAATCTCATGGAAAAACAGTTCTCCGATTTACCGCAATGCTGTCAATAAAATGTTTGAAACGCTGAAAAAACGAAAATTTCAAAACTGTGGACTTTAAAAGCTCGACTAATTCATGAAAAGTCTTTTTTTCTAACTCACCGGTGCATACGGGTACACATCGACGCAGCTCATCTTCAGATGTGAATCGCTCAGATTGTCTACAAATTTAGATTTTCACCTTTTTGCCTTTTTTTTCCACTCACCAATCACCCTTTCCCCGAAATCGGCGCTCTCGTACCAGATCTTCGCGGCGCTCATCGCTTTGAAATACTTGAAGACATGTTGGAGAGAGTCGGTGTCGGGTAGACGGATAATTCTAAAATCCATTTTTTTAATGATTGAAAAGTTTCTATGTCTTTTGTGCTATCCAGCTTGGTGTCTGGTAGAATTTGAAGAAAAGCTCAGCCTTAAACTAAGCCGAGAACTTTTCGAGAAGCTCGACGAATGATCTCCGAAAAGCTTGACGACTAATTTTTGCGGATTTTCGTATTCCGGTATCTCTTATGCGATCCAATTTGACGAATGGCACAAAATTTTAGTCTAAAAGGCTTCTAGAAGCGCTTAAAATTAGTCAAACCCGGAGCCCCGTCAGCTTTTCGAAAACGAAGATAATCACTTAAAAACTACGGTAAACCCTGCTGTGATATCCATAACGGAACTTACCCAGTTTTCAACAGCTACGGTAATCCCTAAAGCCTGGATAGCCTACCGTAATCGATCTGTGAACTACGAACTTTTAGACGGGCTCAACACTCATTTTTCTTGTTAGTGCCAAGGGAATTGTTTCTACATTTCATGTGCGCTCCAGCTTGACGGATGGCATAATTTCCGGATTGTAAAAGTTAAAATCCTGCTTTAAAAAGGCTGCTTCAATTTTCAGTAGCTATGACCCAAGTTAAATGCAAATTTTAAATTCAAATTGATCGATTTACATTTAAAATTGGTGAATTTACATTTAAAATTGGTTAATTTACATTTAAAATTCTCTTATAGCTCTAAAAATCTCAAACCGCACGTCTGCTTATTCGAGTTATTCCTCGAAACCGAGTTGTCCCAGATGTGCTCCTCGAAAACATTGAGCACATAGACGTCGCTCATTCCCTCTCCAACTTGAGTCACCAAATCGTGAAAACGCTTGCAAACCTGGAAAAATTCATAGATTTTTGTGAGTCCTGTAACGGACGAAGCAAGTATTGGGTTGTCCAGTTATGAATGCGCGTTTTTTACTATTTTGTAAATTTCTCAAGATACTGAAATCAAGAAAAAGATATATATGAGTATTATTCGAAAGCTGAAGATCTCCTCTACATTTTGATATAAAAACGTTTTTGAATTTGTTCAGCTTTTGGGCAAATTGACTGCTCGGGAGAAGAGGTAGCCAAAAAATGGAAGAGTGCCTTTGGATCAAGTTTTGGCTTCACTCAAATTGAGTTAACGGTTTGATGTTTGGCGAATAGATATATCAATACAACTTTTTTTAAAATATAACAATTCCAGAGTATCTTTACTTTCCTTTTCTTTTCTGCGCGGTCATTTTACACCATAAAACTTGAGGAATAGCTAAGCTGAAATTGGTTTTTTTCGAAAACCACCTCTCCCTTTGTGCAGTCAATTTTCCCAAAAAGTTGAATGAATTCAAAAACTTTTTTATTTCAAAATGTCGAGGAGATCTTCAGCTTTTGAATGATATATAACGCTCCTATACATCTGTTCGATGTCTTGAGAAATTTAGCAAATAGTAAAAACGCGCATTCATAACTGGACAACCCAAAAGAAATTCAATTTTATTCAATTTGCATTGGTACCGTCTATGATTGGTTGGATGTTTTACTCCTCGTTTTCTTCAATTTCTTAGCCTTTACTCGCAAAAATTCGTTATTTTTTGTAAATCCTGGAACGCACAGAGCAATTATAAATGCAAATTTTTGTTCTATGTAAATTTTACAACAAGCCGAGAGTCGGATGGACCAAAAATCGTTTCAAACCTTTTTCTCGAATTCTAGATTTTTGCCAGGATTTCTATTTGCATGCCAGACTTTCTATTTTCAAAACAAACCAACCTTTGCAAGCACATTCGCCCGTTCTCTGATCCCGAAACTCTCCAAAATGCGCAAAACGACCTCATCTGGGAGCCAATCGAAGAAACGCGGGGTCATCTGCTCGATGATGTTGTGGAAGCGGCGGCAAATCTGGAAATTGAGAAATTTCATGATTTTTCGAAGTTCTGGAGCGCATTTTAGATTTTTAGAGCTTTTGAAACCGGAAACTCGAAATTTAGAATACCCGATTTCTACACGGTCAAGGACTGGCGCATTTTCCGGCTTTTAGCTGAATATCTTTTAAAAGTTTTGTAATTGCCCAGAGTTCTGGAGCGCATTTTAGAATTCTAGAGATTTTGAAATCGGAAACTCGAGATTTAGAATACCCGATTTCTACACGGTCAAGGACTGGCTCATTTTCCGGCTTTTAGCTGAATATCTTTCAAAAGATTTGTAATTGTCCAGAGTTCTGGAGCGCATTTTAGATTTCTCGGGCTCTTGAAACCGGAAACTCGAAATTTAGAATACCCGATTTCTACTCGGTAAAGGACTGGCTGCTTTTCCGGCTTTTAGCTGGATATCTTTTAAAACTTTTGTAATTTTCTAGGATCCTGGAGCACAATTTAGGGTTTTGAGAGGAAATTTGGCCAATTTATTCACCAGGGAGCATTTGAGTTGGCGTTGCCCGAAAGTGCAATTTCGAAAAATGGCCGTCACCAGCTCATTCGGCAGCAAATCGAATAGGTTTTCCTGAAAAGGTTAAAAATTATCTGAAATTCTCTCTAATATGCAAATTTCGACGCTCCAAATTCACTGCATTTAAATTTTTAAAGTTTTTCAGCAAATTTACCCCTTCCTCTTGCTCTTTGCCCACAACAGAATTAGGATCATTGGGTAAATTGCCGGAAAACGTCTCCACTTCCACGGTTTCAATCGATTTCTGGAAATTTTGGATGTCACAGGAGGGATTGTTGATGAAATTTGTTGGCTTTTTTTAAAATTTACCGCCTCAGCTTCAGCACTCGGGCTCGTTTCGTTTGAATTTTTTCCAACGCTGCCCGAAAAGCCGACATTTCTCGCGTTCTCGATTCTCATCTAAAGAATTCAATGCAAATTTTGGTCTGATGCTAATTCAAAAAGCCTCCGTCTGTTTTCGGCCAATGGCTAACCTGCTCGAGCCTCATTTTTCGAATCTCCAACTCGTCAACACTCGCCGCAAAATCTTGATCACCGCCTCTCTCGGCCATGATTTTGTCGAATTCGGTTCAATTTCTGCTTTTCATTTACCCTGAAGTGCATTGCATTGGAATTAAGCAGCAGAAAAAGCAGAAATCAAGCAGAAAAAGCTTTCTCGGAAAAGTTGGAATTGGTTAAATCAAGTACACGACAAATTCAACCGAAAAATGTACCCTAAAGTCTCAAGTATAAGTTCTGCCTTAAAGAGAGAAGCGTTTTCTGCTTTCACACAGAAAACAGTGATTAAATGTGATCAGATCGTTTTATTGCCCACCAATTCATGCCTTCCAACAACCGTCTATGAAAAATGGCGAACCCCTTTACCTACACTGATCCTTTCCTTATTCTTGGTCATCCTCGCTGGCAGGCTATTCTATGAATGGAAATTTGGTGGCGCTAAAAAGAGGTAAGTTTCCAGAAGTTTCAAAAACTGTGAACTTGAGCAATTTAGCATTAAACTTGTCTTATTATTACCAGGTAAGTTGATCAAATCATAACTTTAGAAGGCGTCTAAAGATTTCGAATATTGGCAGTGCCCAACAAAAGAGAGCGAATCCTCGAGACAATGGTGAAAAATTTAAGTAAGTGACAAAAACAAGCTCTACAATTGAGTCCATTATTCCACCCATTCCATTACTGCTTCCACCTGGATGCTTTCAACTTAAAGTTAGAAATCGATTTGAGTCCAAATTTTTGCTACCCTAAAGTCTCAAGTATAAGTTCATCCGAGTATAAGTTCTGCCTTAATTTACATTCGCTTTAATTGCTTTGAATTTTCTTTTGTTGGGTTTTTATACATTTTTATTGTTATATAAACTTTTATTATTGTTCTTGGAGCGCGGGATACTACAGGGTGACCTATCACAGGTACTACAGCCTATCACCATTGCTATTTGTTATGTGCATGGATACATCCAGACGATAGTGTTGAAGAAGACGCTGGAAAGCATCTCTTTCAACCGTCGACGTGGACTTTGACCGGATGAAGAGGCCAGGGAGGGATCCATAAGACTGAGCACCGGAGAGGAGCAGGGCGGACGCGCCGAGCCACGCCCGGAGCAACAAATAACAGCATAAAATTGCTATAACCCTCAATAAATTTACTTCTATTATTGTTCTTAAAAAGCAAAAAAGTTATGCTGCAGCGGGGTTCGAACCCTCGACACACCGCAGCGGAGACAGCCGTCAATTTGCATGCGAAAACCAAACAGAACTTATACTCGCGACTTTCGGGTAACAATTTCAATTTTTATTGCACTTTTCATTTACCCTGGAGTGCATTGCATCAAAATCAAGCGGAAAAAATCAAGGAAAAGCTTTTTCGGAAAAGTTGGAATTGATTGAATCAAGTACACGACAAAATTCAGCCAAAAAATGTAACGATTTCAATTTTCATTGCACTTTTTATCAATCCTGGAGTGCATTGCATTGAAATTAAGCAGAAGAAATCGAGAAAAAGCTTTTTCGGAGAAGTTGGAATTGGTTGAATCAAGTACACGCAAAAATTTGCATAAAAAGCTCAAAAATCTCAATTTCTATTACACTTTTCATCAATCCTGGAGATCAGATGTTCGATTGGCAATAGGGATTGGTGGGGGTGGGCACGAAATTTTGTGCGCTCATCGACTACTCGGGGCGCCTATTGACGCCCATCGCCGACCCCCAAGAGCCTTTCCCCGAAAGCACTCGCAATTGATCTGCCCGAAAGCGATCAAAACAACAACCCCAGCACTCACCTATCTGCAGTGGAATCGGCACAAAGAATCACTTTTCTGACCACTTTCTCAACTCCCAAACTTTTGAATTTCGCTCAAAAGCTTCTATAGCGCTAAACCTTTGAATTTTTCGTCTTTTCTGGCTCGGAAAGTTTTTCCGGCCATCCTGGAACGCACTATGGCTAATGGCTATAAAAAAGTTAACTTTGGAAACATGCTGTCTTTTTAATTTTACTCAAAAGCTTCTCTAGCGCTAAACCTTTGAATTTCTGAACTTTTCTGACTTGGAAAATCTTTTTCTGACCGTTTTGGACATCACTAAAGACAATTGCATGGTTTCCGTGGTCTTTAGGGCAATTTTTGATATCTCTGTCCCTGAATCAATCGCCCCTTTTGAGCCCATTGATTCCAGTCGTCTTTTCTGCAATTTCCCAACCTTTTTCCCATGAACATCGCTTTTTCAAAAGATGCCCCTTGGCTACCGTAACCCATTAAAACCTTTTTCTAAAAGTTCCCCCAAGGGAAAGCTACCGTTTTTTGTTTTAATTTTCTCATAGACCATTTCTTCCGCTTTTTTTATCGGCTCAACACTTGCTTTTCAGAAATTCCGCATTCTGGAGCTCACACTTTGATCTAAAACATTAAATTGTTCTAGATTCGCCGCCTTTCGCCTTCCCATTTCAAGATGACTGTGCTAGAAGGTAAATCTTCAAAAATCCGGCATCAATTTTAAAATTTCCAACAAATTTGCCAATCCTGGATGTCACAGTCTAAAAATAAAAACAAAAACTTTCGGAGTTCAAAATTTTGCGCCGGCACTTTTCCCCTTGGCCAACTCTGACTGATTTCAGCCAATTCCGCCGCCTCATTTATGCAAATTTCGACATCAGACGCCAATCTGGGACACATCGATCACTTTAAGCAGTTTTTATATTCAGTTAGTCTTGATTTTCGAATTTTCATTTATATCCACGGCTTTAGATGCAAGAAGCCCGTCGAAGTATCGTGAAATGCATTTTGGAAAAAGTCGACGTGCCGAAGGATTTGATTTTGGTGAGTGACATCCAGATCGGGGAATGGTGGGCTTAGAAGTTTGAAAGTCAATCGAAATTCCGAGAAATTCGGTCCGATAAGATTTTTCCACACATAGGCGAATTCCAGGTGCTCGAGTCGACCCTCCGAATGCTAACCGATTCGCGAACGGTGGGATTCCAGCGGAAAATGCGCACCCAATTCGACACGTTCACGCTGAATATCAAGGATGAGATCATCGGGTTGAAGGTGGGCGACCGTACCGCGGCCACAGTGGACGATCAGAGCACACCGCTTTCCTGTAGCCACTGGGTTTCCAAACTCGACGGAAGGAATTTTTTTGGCTATCCTGGAGCGCACTCTTGCTGTTCACAAGTTTAGAAACTCAAAATTCGCCATTCGCTCCAATAGTGTCAGAACTGTTTCCAAAGCCTGCCCCCATTCTCGACTACAGTAATCCCAACTAGTCAGTAACGCTTTTTGCCTTCCTGGGCGCCTTGCTGTTCAAGTTTAGAACTCAAATCGCCACCTCCTGCAGCACCTAAAAGGTGTCCTTTCTACCGTAATCTTGCCTCTACTTTCATCAAATCTATCAACGAATGCATAAATTTTACATCAACATTCCTGTTGACATCCAGAAAAAAAAGGAAAAATATATTTTAGCCATCAATATTTGATAAAGGCCTTCTTTTGGCCTCAGTCCTATTCGAGCATAATTTTCTAGTAATTTCTAGAAGAAATTTGCATTTTTAACAATTTCGATGGCGCTACTTTTCTAGAAAGACCTCGAGATTCTCTCACGATACAAGAATGGCTCACTGGAGGCCAGTGAACTGGAGACGGTGCTCGCCAATTTCCATCCCATCTCACCGGAAAAATTCGTTGAAGAGCTCGACGCTTGTTGCAGGTGGGTTGGAGCTAAAATTTTCCGGGTAAATTCGATTCTGGATCGCACAAAGGAGTTTCGAGCGGCAATTTACGCTTGATCTCAAAAAGCGATATGGACAGCATTTCGCATTTTAGATATATGGACACCAAGTACGTACACTCCATAGAATTAGTCCAGTTTATTCCAGAGCCAAAATTTCGATTTTATAGTTCATTCTGGAATGCACCGAAGCCTTTGGAACAATAATCTTAGTACTGTTTCAAAAGAACTGTTTGGACAGCTTCCTACACCAGTTGCCCGTCATTAAACGGCTCTGATTGTGCGTAGAGCTGAAATTTCCTTTGTAACTAAAATCCTGGATGTCATTGAGTCTAAAAATCACTGAATCGCGGGCAATTCTGTAATTTGAAACTTTTCTAGCTTCCTCGTCGACTATGTCGAGAGTGCGCAACCGGAGCGGGAGAATCGGAAGCCATTGTTTATCACTGATTGGGACGGAACGATGAAAGATTATTGCTCTCAATATGCCACAAATCTACAGGTAAAACAGAGATTTGTGTAACCTTCACTGAATTTTTAAACCGTTCAGCCAATCTACTCAGCCGTTTGTATGGCCGGTTTCGCGCAAGAGTTCACAAGGCTGGCCGCTGTGCTCACCGCCGGGCCATTGAGGTAAAAAAAGCACAGGGAAACGAGCTGGAGCTCACAGAATCTATTGATGAATTGGAAACTGAAGAATTCCGTTCACCAAATGTCAAAAAAATTCCCAACCCTTACTGAGCTCTAATTTTCAAATCCTAAATCTGTAAAATCTATAAAAACGACTCTTTTCATCAATCTGGAATGCACTCTAGTCTTTCTCTCATGTTAATTTACTCTAGAAGGTAATCTAAAACTTTCCAGAGGTCCCGGCATTCTCGACCTTACCGCCTTGCCCATCGATGGCCCATTGTTATTCAGCGGATCGTGGGGTAAGTGAAAAACGGGGAAAACGATTCGATCTTTGCTCGCAAACTAAACAAAACCACTTTAACAACAAATAAAAACTCTAATTATATTTTTCTAGGCCGTGAATGGTGGCTGGACAATCATCGAGTGGTGCAAGATGAGGGAATATCGGAAGAAGGGATTGACGCATTGGAGAGGATGAAAGACGAGATGGGAATATTGCTGAAAACAGGCGAATACTCACAATTCGCGCTGGTCGGGAGTGGAGTGCAGAGAAAGGTGCGGGAAAGGAAATATGGAGAAAATGACAACAATATCAAGATTCAGGTTGACCGACTGACGCTCGGTGTGCAAACGGTTTGCGGCCACGTGCCAGCCGCGCTCTCCGAACGATACCAAGAAGAAGTGAGGGAAAGAATGCATCGAGTTGATCCCTACAATCAGGTAAAGCTTTGAGTATCCTAGATCTGGTAATCCAATCGCCTTTTCCAGATCCTCGTCTTTGATCCGTCCACCGAGTTAGAGGTCGAGGTGGTCGCTCATTCATCGGGCAGTGTTTGGAACAAAGCGAATGGGGTGAGTTTCAATTTTGCCATGACTCCAACCTTGTTCAAGGTGCCCATAAAAGTGCCTTTTGAGAAAAGCTACCGTTAACAGTTGTTTAATTTTGGTAAAAGAGCCGGCTGGTTACACAGGAGATTGAATCGGCTTAGTCTATGTTGAAAAAATCAGGATTACGGTAACTTTCGCAAATGGGGACCCTTTAAAATACAAATTATCCAAGGCAGTGAGAAGTGGTACTAAAATCCGTTGTAAAAACACAAATTCTAGGTCTCCCGGGTCGCCGAGATCAAGGGTGACAGTCTGCGTGCACCGGGTCGAGTGCTTGTCTGTGGTGACACGATGTCCGACGTGCCAATGGTGCAACAAGCAAAGCACGAGAATCCGGGGGTGAGTGAACAATGAGATAAACCGTTAATTCTCATTTCCAGGGCGTGATGGCGCTTTTCGTGCGACCGAGCGAGAAAATCCGTGAATCGGTGCTCGCCGTTGTCGGTAAGTGAGGGGAAAACGGATCAGTGTTTAGTGAAAAAGCCTAGCAGCCTAAGCTTCTAAGCCTAAGCCTAAGCCTAAGCCTAAGCCTAAGCCTAAGCCTAAGCCTGAGCCTAAGCCTGAGCCAGAGAAAGTTGAAGCGATATAAATATACGAAATCAATATATTTTTTCCTCCAACACTACTGTAGCTATAGTGACGATAGTTTTCTAAATTAAAAATGTGTTTAATGATTTGTGACTATAGTGCAAGTAACAGGCTAATTAGTTTCATTTTCTAATAGACTACAGTCGACTCTCGATGTTCAGAGTACTACTAGGCACGTTTTTCAATAAAGCCTACCTTCTAAGACGATTTGACTTCTATTGTAGCTAGAGTGCGCTTTCTAAAAAGCACTTATTTCAGACAAACTACCGTAATAAGTGCGCCATTTTCCATTCAATTAGCCTATTTTTGGCCAGATTTGCTGAGGAACCTCAAAATGATATAAAACTTGACTTAATTGAGTGCCAACTGGGGATTTGATTACGGTTTTTTAGGTAGTTTGAGTGTACAATCCAATTATAAACAGCTCTAGTTCTGCGCCAATTTCATCCCAAATCATATGCTTTTTCAGGTGACCCAACCCGTGTCTGTTTCATCTCATCGCCGGACGTTTTCCACGCAGCCGCCGCGCGGCTTTTGGAAACGAAATCGGAATTGGATTAGAAATTTAAGCCTTTACAAAGTCACCGTGTTGCTTCGAAAACCAAAAGCTAAGACCACTTGTCCTTTTCAAAAAAAAAACAAACAAAAAAATCCTTTTTAAGTCTTAACTAAATATTTTGAAGCTCGAAAAATAGCCCAAGCTTTCAATTTTTCATTTACCAACTTAATTTCTGTTTGAGAACCCATTTGCCCAATCAAAAATTCGCTTCATATTGTGATTACTCTCTTCGCTTTCCATTTCATAGTCAAAGTGCCTATAATTCGCAAAAAATTTACGTGTATTTCCTATTGAAAAATATTGCAGGTAGTACAATAAAAGAGATTTAGTCCGTTTAATAGAGAAAGGAACAGGAATTCGGGGCAGAGCTAGACTTGGGCTATCAAAACTACAGTAACAACACAGACTATGGCATGCACAGCACTATTTTTCCTCGTTAAAAACTTTTCTTGCCAACGAAAATGAAAAATCGCCAGAAAAGTGCGCCAGAAAACCCAAAGATTGGATAAAGCGAATTGACCAGGTTTTGAAGGGAAACCAATAAGAAAACTTGCATTTTAATACAAAATCGCAATTTCCGGGTCTCATCTACATCCCATTGCAGAAGCTGCGAGCGTGGGAATTTCAAAAACACGGCGAGAAGACGGTGAAAACCGTCGAATTGCAGGCACTGAAGAGTTGAAAAGAGTTTTTATAGTAAAATATAGATTTGGAAGGTTTTGAAATGGGAAAATTCGCAAGTTACAGCTTTCAAAATGCAAAAAAGTTGAGAGAAAATTACCAGAGATTTATCAGAAAAGCTGACAACTTCGGAACGCACTGACACTTTCACAGCCAATTAGACTTCTAAAAAGTACGGATAAGTTCAAATCGTTTTCTTTTCATTTCACAAAAGATTTTAAAACATCATCTTGAATAATTCAAGGTAATACAATACAAACAGATCTGTCAATTGTCAATTGAATCATCAAAGAGTGGTCATTTTAATCCACCGGGACGTAGAAGGCCAAGAAGCTCGAATCGCTGTTTTGATAGACGTAAATGCAGTCGAGGTATTGATTCGACCAAGGGGTCGAATCAATACCTCGACGGAACACTGAGCTTTCCACGGCGAAAGCATAAGGAAAGATTCCACAATTCTCCAAAAGGTCGTTCGCCTATTTGAGAAGTCAAAGACAATTTTCTCCATCGACTGGATATTGTGAGAGATCCCTCCTGAGGCCAAATTCAGAAGCAAAGTAGATAGCAGCCTCAGGGTTCTTGCTCGGGATTCCATTGGTGACCTTCTGTTGAGAAATCCAATGTAGCCATATGGATAAGTCTCCATATAAATGGTTTTGATTTGAGTCTTGAACAAGGCATTGTAGTAAAAGCGAAATAAATCTTGGGAATCATAGCGAAACCCAATTTCAATTCTCTCGCAATCCTTGAGATGTGTCACGATCACATTCTCGATGTGATCTTCGATCACTTGATCATTAAATGAAATGACATAAAGATTATTGGGTTTACCGAAGCGGATATCCAGTTCTGCTTCGTTCTTGTTCGATGCGTGGAAATTCGAGAAGAATCTCTCGTGATGTTCTTTTGACTTCCCTTCCTTTAGCTCCAATCGATTCACCGCCTTCAAATTGTTCAGAAGTGTGCATTTCTCGTTGAATTCTTTCTCCAAACGCTGAAAACCACCATATGGATAACCAAACGACAAGCGATCACACGAGCGAATCTTCTTGACGAAAAAGTCAAAAGAAAAAGGATCAACCCAGAGCAATTGAATTGGAAACCTTAGAAGGGCGCAGCTACTGGGGACTTTTAAATAGCAAGATAATACATAATTCAATGAAATAGTCAAAATATCATTCGATAGCATATTTTTTTGTGCATCTTTTGAAGTATGAGCCATTGTGTATGGCTTATTGGGTGGTGAGGAAACCTACAAAGTGTAAAGGGGGAGAGTAGCTCCTCTAAAGTCTCTCCCTAGGTTCCAATTGAAATATTCTGAGATTCGTCCGAACATTCCATTCTTCAATTAAAAACAGTAAGACTAATAGTGCCCTCTAATAGTGTCCCACCCTAGAGGGGAAGAGAAAAAAATAGCACCCCATGGGGTTCAATTACAGTATTTACGGCATGTCTACCCCGGATTGTTTTTTCTCTTTCTGCTCCGTTTGCTTATGGCAGGAAATTATCGTCAACACGCATTAATGGCTTCATTTTAGGGACTTCTCTGCGTCAATTTTCTGATTTGAAACGGCATATTTTCTCCACAAAACTTTCTTGTTTACCACGGTTCGTCTGTGAGTTTATAACATTTTTACTTGAGAACATTCTGCTTATAAAAGTTTAACATTAATGGAATGGAACTATATGGTTTAATCCCAGTTAAAAGCAAGCCATTGATTTTCTGCTGATTAACCATACAAATGACTTGATGTCTCCAATCTATGTAAAGTTCTTTGTCAAACTTCTTTTCAGGCCTTAAATATCGAAACGGTTTTCCCGCAATTTTGCAATCTGTCGTAAGAAAAAGGGACTAAAAACTGAAAATTCAGAGAGGGGGACACTATATGCAATGTATAAAATAGCAGGCGCATCCTGCACAGAAAAGTGAAAATATTCAGTTAAATCAATAGGATTAAACTGGCTTGATAGGGTATAAAACAATGTTTTGCGCAAAAGTTGCCATGATATTTTCAGAGCTGATCTTGGCGGTTGTTTTTGTTAACTTGCTGGTTTTTGCTTCTCAATTTTTGCATTCTTTTCATCATAAAAACATACAATGTCCATTTTTAGGGCCAACACACGTTCATTTCAGTCGCGTCGCTGTCTTCCGTCATCGAACACCGTCTTGCTTGTCGTTTTCGCGCTTCACTTTATCGATTCAACTAGTGGGTCACTCGGGAATTGGCATGTAAGTGGTTAAGCCTAACTAGGAAAACGTACTGGAAGATCTCCGCTGCTTTCTGGCTGCTAGAAGTAGGCTTATGGTTGCCAGAAGTGGTGTTATGCTCAATTTTGCGCTCTTAGGAGTGGCAAAACACTTTAGCACTGAGAATATTGACTCTTTAAAGCATTATCAGGCCTGTAAACCTCTCGGAGTTCAAATTGTCGCAGAACAAAGAGCGTTTTGACAAAGATTGCTTAAAATCATTGCATTATGCGCGTCTTTAAAATTATGTTCATGTTTAGCCACACTAATGCACTTCACGATGCCAAAAAGAACACGGTGACCCATAACGATTGAACGAGCCCGGTTGGAGCAGGTAGCCATATTTTCGGTGAGTTTTTTATTTGACATGCATAACTAATCATCTCATTTAGATGCACATACGATTGCATGTAGGCCACTAATGCGACCATTCGAAACATCCAACCTGGCAACTCGCCGGCGAAATTTCACAGAGAATGGCCGCTCGCTGTGACCCAACTCAGTCGTCGGCAATCGTCATTCAGGTGCGAACAAGTGTTTCTTATTTTTACTTTTTGTTTCAGGAACCAACATCGGCTATCTTATCTTTTGGCAACAGTTCGACTGGCGATCAAATATACAAAACAAACCATACGTTGTTGGTTTGACCATACGTTGTTGTCGAAATGATGGCTTAGTTGGCGTTTAAAGTTTCAATCAAAATCTTTTGCCTTTAGGTTCTCGTCGACGATTTTTCATTGTGTCGAATGTTGGGTGACCGAATAGATGGACTATTTTGTGGGTACTTTTGAGAGATTCTTAAAGGCAATTGAATATGATCAATTAAGCTTTGGATACACTGTACAACTTTTTTTTAGTATGTGGTTTCACCGACATCTGTGTGGCCGTCCTCTACACTTTACCTGCGTTGACTACGAAAAACATTTTCAATTTATGTTTTCGATTAAAAAACATCTACTGGATTAACTTTCTTTGTTTTGAAAAAACTGCATGTCCCTATATTTCCTAGGCCTTGACTCCGCACCGCAGAGGCACATAAGTCTCTAACTGTAAACATATTTTAAAAATCTTTTTCGTAATCAAGGCCATCAATTACCCTAGAAAAACTACATTTGAGCAAATTTCAAGTGCTCCCCCAACTGCCTTAGTACCTGTTACTTTTCGTTATGTTTTGTTAACTTGTTTCGTTATTGTTGTTACTTTGAATAAATTTATAAGATATTGTTCGATGATGAAGTTACTGTTTGAAGCAGTTGTCGATTTTTTGATGGATTGACTTATTTGTGACTTATTCTAGCTTGACTTATTCTGTCAATTTCACTATTTCCTAACATTTCTGCATCCGAAAGCGCCTCTTTATGTCAAAATAAAATCTAATTTCTTTATTTATAGGTGAAAGAATGGCGTCAATCAAAATGAAGAATTTGAGGTCATTTCCAATGGAGAAATTGTGCTTCGATTTGAAATTGGAAGCGTTGGAACAAATGGAATCGTGGGATATTGTAGAGTTGACAAAAGTGAATCAAGGATTCCAAGGGAGGCTCGTGAGGGATCCGTCGATCGTTTTTGGAGAGCACGTCTCTGAGATTGAATTATGCCAATCAAGAAGGATGCGGATCGAGAAGTTTTCCAATTCATGTGTAATGGATCTCAATGTCGATCCTCCGCTTTCTCACTTTTCTTTCGTCAAGAAGATTCGATCGTGTGATTGCTTAAGATTCGGGACGGTTCATCAATCTGACGAGAAAAATATACTTCTGAAGAATTTGAAGTCGGTGAATGAATTGGTCCTGGCTTGGGATTCAAAAGAAGACCTGGAGGGATTCTTTTCAAATTTCCACGCATCGATCAAGAAAGAAGCAGAACTGAATATTTACCTCAGTGCTTTCAATGATCAAGTGATCAAAGATCGGATCGAGAATTTTATGGTGGCACCTCAACTCAAGGATTGCGAGAAGATTTCGTTTGGCTGTCGCTGTCGTACTGAAGATTCAGTTCGCTTTTGCTACAATGCTTCGTCGAAAGCTAAAATCAAAAACATTTATATGCGTATTTATGGTTCGCTTGAGTTGATTGTTCAACAGATCATCACCAATGGAATCCCGAGCAAGAACCCTGAGGCTGCTATTTTCCTTGATTCATATAACATTGACTTCACGGTGGATCCCTCACATTATCCAGGAATGCGACGAATCGATGGAGAGAATCGTCTTTGGCTTCTCAAACAGGCGAACGATCTTGTGAGAAGTTTTGGACATTCTCGTTATGATGGTTATGATTTCTTCAGGGAAGAAAATTCAATGTTCCTTCGACGTTTTGATTCAACCAAGGACTGCATCTACGTGTACGACGAACGATATGGGGCTTGCTTCTTGACCTTCTACGTCCATGTCGATTAAAATGATTAAAATGACTCTTTGGTGATTCATTGTATCTTTTAGTAGGTTTCTATCATTGTTTCCATTCTTTTAAATTGACAGATTATTTGTGCTCTATCTGTTATATTTTATTGCCTTTGAATTATTCAAAATTAAGTGTTAAAATCTTTTGTGAAATGCAAAGAAAACGATTTAATCTTATCCGTACTTTTTAAAAGTCTAATTGGATGTGAAAGTGGCAGTTCGTTCCGAAGTGATCAAATTTTCTGATAAATCTCTGGTAATTTTTTTCTCAACGTTTTTGGGTTTTGAAAGCTGTAACTTGTAACATTTCACTCTCTTTGAAAAGTGTCAGCAAACTCGAATCTTTGAAAATACATATTCTCTTCCTATTTTTGTCCATTGCCAATTGCAAAAGGGGCCCGGGTTCCTTTTATACACGCCCCTTTTGCCATTGGCAATCTAACTTTGAACGGAAATATCTTGGTGTTGGGTTGCCCAATTGCAATCTTCTTGATATTATTAGATTACGTCCTGGTTGCTTCTTGGCCTTCTACGTCCCCATCGATTAAAATGATTAAAATCACTCTTTGATGATTCATTGTATTTTTTTTTCGTCGCTTTCTATCATTGTTTCCATTTTTTGAATTGACAGATTTTTGGTGTTGTATCTGTTTGTATTTTATTGCCTTGAATTATTCAAAATAAAGTTTTTAAATCTTTTGTGAAATGAAAAGAAAACGATTTGATCTTATCCGTACTTTTTAAAAGTCTAATTGGTTGTGAAAGTGCCAGTCCGTTCCGAATTGGTCGAATTTTTAAGGAAATCTCTGGTAATTTCAGCGTTTTTGCTAGGTGAAAGCTGTAAGATGCTAATTTTTCTAGATCAAAACCTAGATTCTACTACAAAAAAGAAACTCCGAGAAAGGAAAATGAAAACAAAGATCAAAATTTGAAATTTTCAAAAATTCGAGAAAAATTCGTTAAGGCCTCGTTATTGGTTTTCATCCAATTTTCATCGTAAATGCAGTCCTTGGTCGAATCAATACGTCGACAGAACACTGAGCTTTCCACGAAGAAACCATAAGAAAAGATTCCACAATTCTCCAGAAGATCATTCGCCTGTTTCAGAAGTCAAAGACAATTTTCCCATCGATTCGTCGCATTCCTGGATATTGTGAGAGATTCCTCCTGAGGCCAAGTTCAGAAGCTATGTAGATAGCAGCCTCAGGGTTCTTGCTCGGGATTCAAAAACCACCAAAACCTATATTCTACTACAAAAAAGAAATTCCGAGAAAGGAAAATGGAAACAAACATCAAAATTTGAAATTTTCGAAAATTCGAGAAAAACTCGTTAAGGCCTCGTTATTGGTTTTTATTCAAAACCCGGTCAAGTCGCTTTATGTCATTTTTTAGATAAAAGGGTCTCGAGCACAAGCTGAAGCCTACAATTTCTCTTTTTATTTCAAACGCAATTTCCGCCAAACCCAACGGCAATCGGCGATCCAAGGAGTACCCCGACCCCCATAAATAGCAAAAGTGTGCTGAAAGCCGATAACAACTTCTCCCAACACAAATCAACGCAAAAGACTGAACGGAGTGCCGCGAAACACTGAAAGTTCGATTCAAGAATTCTATCAAAGATTTAATCAAGGTTTTGTACGTTAGAATATTCCAATTTAAACCAAGTGCTCCTAAGTTATTCAGCTCAACGCGGTTGCCGAGTCCGGAAAATTAAAATTCAAGACTCCAGGAGAAGACCTAGTTTAGTTTGAGATATTCAGTTCTTCTCTATTACTTGCCGTTGTCCTTCATCCATGCATCTATTTAAGAGACTGTCGAGGAATGTAAATGATCCAAGTTATGATATTTTATCTGGTTTGGTTAATACATTGCAGGCAGTACAATAAAAGAGATTCAATAGCTGGCAAAATCAGGAGCATTTGATAGAGATACCTGGAAAAAAGCATTGCCAAGAGATTTATCAAAGCATAAAAGGATTTAGGCCATGCAAAACGAGCCGTCATTGCTAGAAATTTGTTGTTGAATATTGGTGGTGATCTTTAGGAAGAGGGTGTCTTGACCGGTCGTTGAGAAGGCACAGGACGATCCACCGGAGAATTTCTGAAGGAAGAGAATGGGTGGATGATTTTGTTTTGAAACGGTTTTGAAACTATGAACCATTTTTGGGAAATTAGCTTCAGCTATCTATTGTTTTAAAACAAAAGAACAGCTTTGTATTGTTTTAGGCTAGATTTGTATTGTGTTATGCTAGCAAAATGTCATGGTTAGCAAAATGTCATGGTTTTTGCTTTGCATCTCAACGATCTCTGCATTATACCTGAATATCCTGTAGATTCATTGCTCCATTGCCATAGGCAATGCTGAGAATCGAATACAGTTTTGACGTTTTCAAGTCAAAAGTCTCTTGAACAGCATCTCCAAAATCTGAGACACTGAAGTAATTTTGTTTCAAATAGAAAAGACAAAAACGTACCCAGCCGCTGAGGTTAGATAAATAATCCAATGATTTTTGATCTCACTACGATATCCATTGTGAGAAGTCGTATATTCCTGGATGACCAAATCGAGAGCACTAATAAGACGAATAAGAAACACTTCTCCTTTGGACAACTTACGATCCGAGAAATTGGGCGTTGTTGTTAAAATCACTGTAGTGAACTGGAATATCGTTCAGTGCTTGAAGGAGAGTTTCCTGTAAACAGAAGATTTTCAACTTTATAGAATAGAAATTAGAAATTCAGGAAAACCAAATATTCGGTTGGCCAATAAGTCAAAGAAAGGACATTTTATCGTAAAGTTTTAGTGGGCCCACAGTGTTTACCATTAAAAGAGACAACAGAATTCCCTTATTTCAGAACAATTTCATTGATTGAGCATGCTTCCTTATCTCTTTATTAACTACTTCTTTTGTCGATTAGTGTAAATTTGCCAAATGGGCATATTCAGCATCTTATGCCAATTGAGGTCGATAAATGCTCATCTTCAAGTCTAGCTCCAGGCCACATAACAAAAGTATACGGTCATGATTCCCTCTCCAAGACTACATGTGATCGATGATTTGACAAGTTTGAAAATGAAGACAAATCTTTGATCGAAAGCGATCGCCCCGAGAGACCGGTTGAGGTTGTGATTGGGAGTTATTGGATACTGAGAGTGCTGGAAGTTATAGGATAGCAAGCAAGCACTTAACTGTCAACTATATAGTAATCGATCTCAAAATATGTCTAAAGCCCTTGAGATAAAAAGACCAAATCTGAAAAAAATCGTATTGCATCATGAAAATGTTCGCCTACACACTGCTAAACTGACTTGCTCTACAACCAAGAGCTTGGTTTGGGAGCTTTTCCCTCACCCAGCATATTCCCCAGCTCTAGCTCTATCAGATTGATTTCAATCAATGGAAAGCGCCTTAGTCGGAGAGCACTTTGAAGATGAAGTAGATACCAAAGAATGGGTACATAACTAGTTTGACTCAAAATCAAAGCTTTTTTACGAGACAGGAATTCGCCTTCTACCATTAAAGTGGGCAGGTTATTGAAAAAGGTGGAAACCATTTTTATGGATTTAGATGGCTTTATTTACTATATATAAAGCAGGAGAGACGTCTGTCTGTCTGTCTGTCTGTGGGCAAACGGGACGCTCCGTAATTACATTTGCTCTATCGGCTAAAAGACAAATTATTCAGCTTTTGCGCGCGATATTTTGCTCCCGGGAGTTTTCGGCTATAGGGAATCTGCCTTTTGGGTCGATTTTTAAAAAGGGGTGCGGGGCTTAGCATGGGTTACGGTAGTTTTAGTCATTTGAATGGGTTTGAAAAAAACGCGAACGAAGCTAGCGTTTTCCGCTGGTTGAATAAATATTTCTGTTTGAAATTGACTCATTACTTAACGGCCAACCAAATGGAAACGGTTTCCCAACTCGAAATTTAATGCTCGATCACAACAGAACGCGTGAAATTGTTGCTGAAATCGTTGCAATTGAAATTTTAAAGTGAATGGAAGGCTTAATCGTCCAGAAAAAGTTCTTGATGGTGGTTTTGGTCTTGGTTTTGTCTTAGACCAAAAAAAACTGAATTGCAAAGCTGCAAATCCGGTTTTTTTTATGTTGGTGACCTCACCGTGTTCGTGATTTGACCGAGCGCAGCCACAGGAAACGTGGCCTCTGCATCCCCAGGCACCGTCACCAATCCGACCCGAACTCCAGTCTGGCTCACCGTAAAGGCGGTCATCAGGACTTTTACGAAATTTATGTACTAAAAGGCTCCTTGTATCCGACTAATTCAAAACTAACGTCATTGAAATAGGGTTGAGCTGTCGACGAGGTATCAAGAAGAAAGACAACGTCAGCCTGAGCAAAAAAATTGCTGAAACGAAAAAATTATAAAACTGACCACAGTATCTGTAGCGGTAATCGGAAGATGAATCGGGTTTTGCTGAAATGAATTTTACATGGAAATTTAAACATTCAAACCGATAAGCCGATTGAGAAGTTTGTTGCTATGGCTGCAGCCATTGACGGAGAGAAGCTGTGGGTTTTAAATGATCAGCGTTTTGCGGAACGAATCTCTTCTTTCATTTTTTTGGGCGTCATTCGCATCATTGATAAGCGTGAAATGACCTGCCTCATAAAATGTGTAGAAAAATTAAATGGGAAAGCGACACGCCTAAAACAAACTGATCGTTTGTTTAGTAGCTGCATAGGGTTGCGGGATTTCAAAATGAGACGAAAGGAATTCCGAATTTGTTTCGATATTCTGCTATTTACTTCTCAAAAACACAAAATATGCGTTTTGAAATGAAGGGGTTTTTTTGACGATCAAAAAGACAATAATCCCCAAGAAATTGCTTAAAAAAAGAGAGTTTATAGGGTGTCCCAAAATTATGAAACGAAAATTCGATCATTGATCTTTTGTTAATTTTCAAGAAATTTTTATAGATACCTTAAAACATTTTATATTTTATAGATACCTTAAAAATCATTTAACAATCATTGAACATAGCAGAAATATAATATTGTTCCTCAAAGTAGCCTCCTTTAGCTTGAACAAATTTTCTTAATCATCCATGGCCTTTTTGATGACCTTCATACCACTGTTGTCCCAAGCTTTCTCCAAATCCTTCTTCAAAGACTGAATTAGTGTGTGAGGCTTGCAACAAGCCTTGGACTGCAAGATCGACTAAATGCTGTAATCCAAAACATTTAAATCCGGCGAGTTGGATGGCCCTTCTCAGTCTTTTTGTGGCGTTTTTGATGATTTTGCGAATAGGGGGTCATGAATGGATCGAGGAGCGCAAAATCCACGTATAAAGAAAAAACACACTTTTGAATTCCTTTATTTCACGACAAATCCTTCTACTTTTTGTTCCTCTAAATTTGTTTTGATATTACGAGTTTGTCTATTTGAAATTGAGCTTTTCCATCACATTCTCTATCAAAAGTACCACGATAATTTTTATTTTAAAAATTTCAACGAAGCAATTTTTTGTTCTTCTTTTAATTAAACAGTCTTTTTCATCAATCCATCATTTTCATCTGATAAGAAATGCTCGACGTTTTTTTAAATAATGAGAATGATTAAATATCATCTGTTCTTCGCTGTGCAACACCAAATTTTATTTAGGGACTTACTAGTTCTGGTTGTCTGGAGAGGCTGGCACGACGAGTAAATTGCGAGCTATTATTAGGTTTAGGGCGTGTTGATATCGGACATTATTTGGATAATTTTGGATAATAATTATTTGGATAATTTTGAGCGAATAATTCTTTATCCAAATGGGTGAAATAATTGTTGGATAATGATATTCTAAACTATCTTTTTTCTAAACTATTCCACTATCTTTTTGCTTGCGTTTATAAAGGCGGAAATGATTATTTTGCTACCACTTTCCTTTTCGTTTTAATTTTTTAATTTTATATGTAATTAATAGTAAGTTTTGGTTTTATTTTTTTATAATCTTTTTGTTTACTATGTTTTATCCAGTCAATCGGTTAAACAATATTTTTATTTTAGATAACAACGGCAAAGGAAAAGAAGAAGTATTAGGGTGGTGCAAAAGAAACTGCCGATTTGACGGTAAATTTTTAAAAAAGATGGCGTTCGATAGTGACATGATCACAATGGAATATGTTCGCAAGATCTCGAGAAGATTGGCATGGATCGGCCTGAATAACGTCCCTCAGCTTGGCTTCGTTGACGACTTCTGGCCTCGAACCGTGCTCGTAATCTTCCAAAGTCTCGTCTCCCTCTCGGAATCATTGAAACCAAGTCTGACACTGCCTGAGAGACAAACTGCCAAAGCAGCACAGATCTCCAGAAGCAGCACAGAGAGAACGATGCGATTCGGCAGCAGACTTGGTTCCTTTTCTCTACAAATTTCGTCCTCTTTTCTCTACAAATTTGGTCCTCTTTTCTCTTTTGGTTCCTTGCGAGACAACGATGCGATTCGGCAGACTTTCCAATTTTGAAGTTAAACAGTAATTTGCAGAAAAACTTTTGCTCGACCATGTCAAATGTCGAAATTGCGATTTCGGTTCCTTGCGGTTCCTTGCGAGACAACGATGCGATTCGGCAGACTTTCCAATTTTGAAGTTAAACAGTAATTTGCAGAAAAACTTTTGCTCGACCATTCAAATGTCGAAATAAATAGCAAACAAATATGCGAACAAAACATAAAAAAAATAATTCCACTAGCATCGCTCGTTTCTGATAAATGAGAGCTGATACCCATCGGCATTTTCTTTTGCACCACCCTAATAGAAGTAGAAAGCGAGTCATTTTTGGAGCGGTGCTCAAATGAACGTTTTTAGGCCTTTTTAATTTGGCGCTGAAATGATCGTTTTCCAGTCAGTTTTGGCGCCGTGCTGAAATGAGCCCGCGCCAAATCGTTGGCACTCAAATGAACGGCGCTCAATTTTTGGCGCTCCTGAGACTCGCTCCCCGTTAAATGTAATTAGAGAAGAAAATTTGCCTTTCTTTGCTGCATCCACGCTTTAGAATTGCATTATCCGAGATCAACAGACTCTAATTAAGTTGAATAGTCAGTCTTTGCTATATGATTTCTCACTTCATCCCAAAATGCTTATTTGACGTTTTGGTCAACATAAAAAAGTTTTAGCTATACAAAATGAATGTTTTTAAGCAAAGGGTAGCCCGTTTCAAAGGAGATTTGGGCGTCAATTCTCCAAAATTCCTTTGGCGGAGCATATTTAGAAAACGGCTGTACAAATCGCTCTGAAAAGTTGTCTTCTTATCGAATTTTTACTCTTTTCTTTTCTATTGCCACTAATGCCACTAATTTCTATTGCCACTTGGTTTCTTTTGAAGAAACTCTTCAAACAGCGCAATCGGGAGTGCTGCATTTTTGACTATCTGCTTTCTGGGCTATTTTACTACCCGAAAACAAATGTCTCTCGAATTGATTGATGATGTATTTTGTAGAGAATGGGTAGACCTTTCAAATAAGACAAACCCCAAATCAAACGATAAACTAGACGCTTGGAAAACGAAGTTTGAAATCATGTAGCAAAGACGGTTACTGTTTAACCTAATGGAAAGGCTAATTTAGAGTTGTTTGTTTGTGATTTTGAAGGTTATTTACTCTGGTTTGGCATTATTTTTTCCTTTTGAAAGTTTTTGGAAAAATTCTCGCACCGTTAACCCACTGACGCACTCGAAAAGAAAGCGCATAATTGAGGCTTCCGTTCTCGAATATTGAGCTCACAAACAGAATTTTCTTCTGTATGATTTCAAAAGAGCAATAATACAGCTCTTTTGTTGAGTTGCTCGTTTCACGCACACGAGCGGCCCCAGTCACATCGATAAGCCTAAAGATACGGGAGATACGTGCTTTTATCTGAAAACGTGTAAAACAGATGAATAGTGAGTTTAGTTTGAGTTAGTGAGTTTGAGTTTAAAAAATTGAAAAAAAGACAGTCTTTTTTTGGGTAAAATCTGGGGCTTTTGGGAAAAATACTTGCTTATTTTTTCTTGGAACGTTGGCTGGGCGTACTTTAACGTTTACTATTCTATTACTATTCTACATTACTATTCACTTCTATCGTTTACTTTTCAAACAGTTCTTCCAAAGTTTTTTTGAATGAGATTAGTCTCGTATGCCCTATTGGCTAACGATTCCGGTTTCAGATGAATACTCAGGATCTAATCTCTAATCACTAAGCAAAGTGATTGTTATTTATATGGGTGTACACGGGTCATTGTTTTTTTTTGTGATTGAATAAATAATATTTACTAAAAACTAACCAAAAATCAATCTATCTATCGAAACTTTCGGATTTTTCCAAAAACCCCCGGATTTTACCCAAGTGCACATCGGGGCGAAAATGCGTTTTCTATCGGATTTTTCTGGGAGCACCTTTTTTAGATGCGGAAAATTGTGCTGATTCCGAATCTGAAGGAATTTTCCAAATCCCTCTCACAGAAATTTTTTAAATTTATTTTTAGCGGTTTTTTGGTCATTTTGTATGGGAAATTTTGTGGTACCCTGCAGTTTGGGGCTCGTAACTCGACAACGAGAGTCTAGAACCAAAAACGAAGGGATAATTTTTATTCTAAAGACTCTTACGAACATTTTGATGCAAAAATCATAAAATTTGCTCAACTCTACAAAAGGTTATAACATCTTTGAAGAAATTTTGCAAAATACACTTAAAACATAAGGGGAAACCGTGGCCGAGTGGTCTAAGGCGCGCGACGTCAATCCAGCGCAAAAGTATGGGGTTGTTGGTTCGGCTCTCCCGCGCACTTGAGCTGTTATTTTGCATATTGACGTCGAGCGCCTTAGACCACTCGGTCTAAGACCAACATGCAAAATAATCAGCACAATTTTCCGCATCTAAAAAAGGTACTCCCAGAAAAATCCTTTCGTCTTTTTTCGCGCCGATGTGAAGTGCCTTTTTCTCTTCTTTCTTTAAGTTAAAAGCTAAAGTTAGTGGATTAAACGCCCAAGTTCTATATTTCAAAGAAAAGTCCAGAAATCATTGTATCCTTTGAAAAACTCATCCAGATATAAGGAAGTATTGTCGCTTTATAAAGATAATCTCCTCCTTTAAAAATGCCTTTTGGAACGGCCGCTTTCTCTGCCAAAAGCATGCTTTTTTTAGAAACTTTTTATGCTAACGCAAAAGTCATAACTTAAGCTATATTTTGATAACAAAAGTTTCTTAAAAAGGTATGTTTTTGATGGAGAAAACGGGCCTTCAAAATTACGCATTTTTAAAGGAGACGATTATCGGTAGACCGCTATTTGAAGAAAAAGAAAATGCAGTTTATCAACGTTTCCCTAAATTATCGTAATGCCTTTTGTTGTACGCCCTTTCGTAATGCCTTTTGTTGTACGCCCTTTTGTAATGCCTTTTGTTGTACGCCCTTTCTCACTCACACCATCTCGCACTTTGGCCTATTCGGTGGTTGGCCGTTGATCAAAAATGGGAATAGATCGAAACAAATCGTTAAGTCGTCTCGTTCGCTCTGCTCTGCTTCCAAAAATGAGTCT